GATCTCTCTAGATTGCGATAACGGTTTTCCTCTCGCTGTCACCTAAAGAGGTGGTGCTGATAATGTCAAGTAGATTAACCGATCAGAAAAGTAACTCAACAACAATGGTTTCGCTGCATGCGAAGGGCGTATGAATTTGCTGCACACACGAGAGCGATATTCTGAGCATTGGAGAAAAATTTTTATACCTTCAAGTTGGAAATCAGTATTGGTTTGCGAAATTGCACTAATCTTCACCACAGTTTCCAATTAACGATATTCTGAATACATCATGGATTTTTTAAAACACTTCAGGTAGATGTACATTTATGCGGGGCAGTGTATTTTATATATCGGCGTAGCTCCATACGCTACCACGCGCATCACACGGTATTATAACTGGTAAACTTCTTGTGTTGATTCTGATTCGAATACCTAAGTGATTGAATAGGTTTCACTGCTACCATTTTTCTAAGCATAAATTTTTGATAAGCATTAGTTACATCATTAGTTGCTAGTCCGAATTCCAGGGAGGGTAGTAAACTAGCCAAACTTGCACGGTTAACGGGCAGTTTTAATGAGCACGTAACGTGGAGGTGCAAGTTTTTCCGATGATGGTGGAAATCGCTTCTATGGCACCTAGGAGACCTATTATGAAACTCTGAATCCCAGGTGAGCTGCAGCTCCCTGCAGCGTGGGGTGGTTCCTTGTTACGCGCAGCCGTAAAACGCGCAGGAAGGGCTCGCTGACAGAAAACGGGACGCGGAGGGGCGAAATACAATGTGTTTGGAGAGACGCAGGTGACGCCCGTTACGCGCAGCAAAAAGTCCTTCGGAGGACTTTTTGGAGTTGGCCAACTTCAAACTGCCAGGTGCGTGGGTCAAAGCACGGTGTTGGAAAGGGAAAGGAGGCACCTTGCATTGATTCGTCAGTGGTGTAGCGCCTGCGGTCTCACGTTGGTGTTGGATCAGTCGCGGGATCAATACCGTGATAAGTCTAATGGTTTGCAACCTTTGGAAGCTATTACCCGCTATTATCGGTACCCCTTTCTCCAACTCGCTATCTGTGTTTCCGCATACGAAACCTATGACGCTGTCATCGCGAAGGACACAACGAAACTAGTCGTCTCACACACTGACCCTTCCCCTCAACACTTACCAGCAGCTATTATTTTCTTTTACCCAGGTTCTTGTTCAACCCTATACCACAATCATGGACGAGCGTGCGCCACCCTTTCCTCGACATGCTGCGGCAAGGTGATTGCCTGCAGGCCGCTCTGCTTATATGCGCAGGTAAAAATAGTCCTTTAAGTGAGTACGAAGACCAATGGCTCGGTCTATTATTATTTCTTGGTTGGACATCGCTTATTTTTAAGTACCCAAGGCTTTTGATACGGTAGACCTTTCTGTTCTGAGCTCTTGCTCAAGTTGACCCTATTCAAACTTCATCCCTTGATGTCGAAAAACGGAGAAGTTTCTGCCGAAATGATGTTTCGAGCCAGAATTGGGTCAGCGTTTTGAAACATTCAAGGGTTTGAAGCACTGAACCTTAAGATGAGGTCTTATCACTCATCCTCTTTTAACTGTATACATTGCCGAACTCCCCAGGAGGGTCAAGTGAATGAGGAATGCTAGACAGGTCGGCGGGTAGGGGGATAATAAATCGTATTTGGTCAGTATCAAAGTTGGAAGTTGCTATATACCTTTACACTTATTGGAAAACGAAGAAGTGGAATCTGCTTTTGTTTTTGTACAAAATGGTCATTAAAAGGAGCTACTATAGTCGTTGAAGGAGTTCCAATGCAGCGAAGAAGAACCTCTCGGCGATGCACGGGCAAAGCTCCTCAACCGAGCCATTGGTAAAAGGTAGGACGAGCAATCAAGGAAGCGCACATGAGAAAACTTGCGATTTTGGGGCACCTTGCATAAGCTTTTAGAGCTGACCTCCCATGAGGAGGGCGGGCCCAATCTGTGTGGAGTGATAGCATTGTGGCTGAGACCTTATAAGCAACGATGCTACATACAGATCGGTACAGGAGTCCAGTTACCCACCTCACCTTGGCTAGTTGTAGACATCCCACTGTCAATCTTTTCTGATGAAACGCTCTTGATTGCAGCGACTTCGCCCTCCTCCTGTGTGCCCACGCACGGCTTCCCGTTTCTGTAGCGCATAAATGCACTAGCACAGAGTACCCGCAACTTGCTTTCATGAAGTCATGCTTTTTTGTTCGGTTTAGGTTCTCAAAATGGAAATTGAGCGCTTTTTCCAGAGTTTGTCTCTTCCGTCGCTTCTGCACTTCACGTTCTTAGAGACTATTTCGGGATCTTCAAAGAAGAGGCCTTCGTTGAGTTTCATATGGCTTGGTTTCTAATCCTATATTACACATCCCTCCTGCCAACAACATGACTAGAAGCGTTACTCTACTGGCTTCTGCGTTCTGTTTGTCTCTGTCGACAATCAAAACTCGGCAGCTTGACCGCATATGATGAGCAGGATTTCAACTTCTAGGTACAAAGAATTATGAAATATGGACCGGAAAGCTACACCACGGGCTTACTTATGCTACAAAGAGGTCAGACTTTTACTGAGGCTTCCTTCTTTTTGAAAACCCGATATGCGTCCTAAAACTGGTCGCAGTACTTTAGAATGGAATCAGGCGCTCAGCGGGTTAGTGGTAACCAGTGCCCACTTCACCGAGAGGTCCGGCTGCGTTCACATTCCACGTCACGAACGCAGACCTGGTCATGAGACGCTCATGCTCGCTAGCTCATTCTTTACGCTCCGCACTTGTTAGTGGCCTACGCAGAAGGAACAGAAACACAACTAGCTTACCTCTTCTATAATCTGAAAAATATACACAACGTTTTTTTTTCTGCAAAGCTCAAGCTGATCGTGCACCTGTGGCCCACGCATAGAGCGCTGAACGGCAGAGCAGCTTAATACTGTGCATAGTAGCAACTACTGTACGTGGTATCCCTATGTATAGCCCAGGAGTACGCATACACAACAATAGTGTGTCTACATACTCACGGGCTAAAGTAGATGTGACCGTGCACAGCATTAGGCTGCGTTGCCGTTCAGCGCTCTGAAGTACTCGCCGAGCTCTCCCGTAATAATCACCGCAATCCTTAACACCCTGCAAGTAATTTCCGTTGTTGAATTTTCAATCTCATTAGTTGTTGTGGTTGGCGTAAATAATGTACATAAGCCATGTGGGAATGTTCTCGATGTGTCTCTCCTAGCAATGGTTTCGACATGGGGTTTGCTTATGATTGGAGCAATTGTTCCGGGGATACTGGGCAACGTCATTCTACCGCCAGGTGACCACTTCCACAACAGCTAGTAAGTTGGATGGTATTCTTCATTTTTCAGCCGATTCCGCAGACAAGGATGTTTCGCCCGAAATTTCTATCCCTAGTACAAATGCGACAGAACTGCTGGATTCTTTGGAAGTATTACGTAATTGTTATCTGAAGGAAACAAACAAACTGGTCAGAATTTCCTTTTGTTTCAGCAAACGTTTATTCTCACTAGCAGTTGTGTTTTCACCAAAAGTACCCTGGCCTAAGCGTCGCGTACCATATCCCACCGAGCCGAAATTTTGATGCAAATACGTTTGTTAACTGCAGCTGACCACGCCAGAAAGGGTCCACAGATGGGGTGCGATTCACTAGGACAGAACGCGACTTTTTTCGTTTCGCGCGCAAAACACTTTTCGCTGCAAGAACCTCAGGTCCATCGCTGATCATGAGTGGACCTTGAGTTCCTGCAACGAATAAATCTGCACCTGCAGCGATAAATATTTCGCGATCGAAACGCGAAAAAACCGCTCAAGGTCCTAGTGAACCACCCATTTAGATAAGCTAGTGCACGGCCCTTCCATTTCTTGAAGCAACAGTCCCAGCAGGGTTTTTACCTTCGACACTAATGGTGTGGAACGATGCGCTAGCCCTAGTCAAGAACATAAAAAGTGTGACTGAACAAAAAACTCACCTTGGAAAGCCGCTAGAAAGGGAGCTGAACAGCTTCGAAGTGGGCGTGGTTATCAATCGGCCGAGGGGATTGCAGCCGATTTTAACCACGCCCACTTCGAAGCTGTTCAGCTCCCTTTAGCGGCTTTCCAAGGTGAGTTTTTTGTTCAGTCACACTTTTATGTTCTTGACTAGGGCTAGCGCATCGTTCCACACCATTAGTGTCGAAGGTAAAAACCCTGACTGTTGCTTTAATGATTCGGGGTGTAGCCGCGGCGAGCGCGGCCGAGTCGACGGTGACCGCGAACTGTGCTAATGGAGTTTTTCAAACCTACCCGCAACTCGTCCGCGCTCGCCGCGGCAGCACCCCAAATCGTTAAGAAAGTGGGAAAGCCCTAGTGGGCGACGGTTTTCAACTTCCGCGCCGTTGCAACTACTATCCCTGCCTAAGAGTTGGTACCTTGTTAGGTTGGGAAATCCTGCTCATCGTTTGGAAGAAGCTTGGGTAGAATTTCAAGAGTGAAACTAAAGCTGGTTTGCAATCGATTCTTCAGGATACAGGCAGTGATGATGTTGGCAATTCCTATCCTCTGCCATATATCCATCTTGACAAACTCCAAAGAAGTATTGCAGACATGGAAATGGATTTGAAAGCGAAATATTTCCTTTTCTATGAGGTGATTGGTAGTAGTTGTTGTCTGGTAGATTTGCTTCAGCTCTTCATTTCTGCAGGTGATGAGCAGTTTCAACCATTCAACGAATAATGCACATGGTCCCGGTGAAGCATTCTCCGTGTAAGTGCACCAGTACATAGCTGCAGTAATTATACCTCTCATGCCATCGCACTATTTTCAGATTGGTAAACACTTTGCACGAGTTACCAGAGAGGATTCGTGAAATACTCTTCGACTACTTGAACTTCGGTGGTTAGTGATAAGAACCGATGACGGCAGTGTTCGACTGAAGGCAAACCCCTGTATAAAACTGGTGTATAAGAGCGCATGACGTGATGATTGGTGTTGTAGTGATGAGTGAACTGCGGAAGGGATTGAAAGTGGAAAGGAAAGCAAGAAAAACCATTGGAAACGCTTAAATTAAGGCCTTAACCTTCAGTAAGGTCGGATGTGGTACGATGGCGAGACAGGGCGATCAAAGAATACAAAACACGTGAGAGAGCACGCCGTTTGAGAAAGACGATGATTCTTGCATCAAACGCGGTGGGTGAGGGGCGTTGCAACGGTGATCGGTGATTGCAGGCCCTTTAGGATGAGCACCTTGATGCACAGGTTATGCGACGAAGCTGGCAAGAACTATGAAGATACGAACCCCACAATTCCCCTTGCGGTATCCCTGCCACTAGTCGTGCTGATCCCGGAGCTTAGCCTTAGAGACATCTTGCAGAACCAAGCGCTCCCC